TCCCCCTGACATGCCCCCCTGCCGCGAGGTGTTTGCTGCCCCTAAGGGCAGCAGCCCCCTGCCCAGGCCCTGCCCCCCAGCCCCAGCACAGCTCTGCCCCTGCTCACCATGGCCGAACTGGAGCAGAGCCATTTTCTGGAGCAGAGCTGCACCTCAGCCTGGCCTAGGGGCACCAGCAGCTCCACGGTCGCACGGGCCGTTCTGATCTCGCCTTCACCCTTAGACAGCTCAGAATGTAACTGGTCTGCGTTGCCAGGCAGTGGACAGAGGCGTCGCTGTCCTCCAGCAAGGGCTCAAGGGCTGAGACCGAAAGAGAGAACCAAGATGACCCGCGGTGTCTGCACAGACCCTCGGGCATCCCCTCCAGACCACGGCAGCCCCTTTCCCTGGCCGGGAGAGAGCTGCTGCCGCTCAGCGATGCCCCAACTGCCTCCGACACGTTCCCCCTGCCCCGAGGTGTTTCCCTGGAGCAGGGCCAGGCACGGCAGCCCCCTGCCCAGGCCCTGCCCCCCAGCCCCAGCACAGCTCTGCCCCTGCTCACCGCCGATGATCTCCGACAGCTTCTCCTTGCTCTGGCCCCGTGCGAGCAGCCCTGGGAACACAGCGTGCTCAGAGCCCCTGCTCCCCAGCCCCTGCCCAGCACAGCCCCGGCCCCTTGGGGCTCTGGCAGCCAAGGGCTGCTCCCCCTGCCCGGGCACTGGGGCCAGGCTGCCAGAAGAGGGTCCCCGGGGGCTGAGCTCACCCATGAACCTGATGGCCTCCACTCTCACAGGGGCCTGAGGGTCCTGCAGGTACAGCAGGCTCTGCTGCAGGTATTTAGCAGCCCGGCTCCTGTCCTGCTGCAGCTGCAGAGAGCACAAGCTCACGGGGCTGGCACAGGCCATTCCCAGCTGGTGTGGAGAACCAGCCTCCACAAAGTTCTGTCTCTCAACCAATTACTGAGTTACTGAAGTGGTTCATAGCCACCTGTTGTTCCAGATACTCTTGAAGAGGTTTAGTGCTTCTTGGAGCCGATGGGTCTGATTGTCCTCTTGCATAACTTTGTAGCTACCGCTCACCAGCCCGGGTATGATAGCAGTCACAGAATTAAAGTCCTGGATCCATTGTCGGGTTGATCTTGTTGCCCTTCAACATCAAATGTATGTAAGTTTACTTTATCCACCTGAAAGTTGGTTTCAGAACTTCCTGATGTCAAAACTCTGCATATGAGAAGATCCTGGTCAGGCAGTGTATAGTCCTTTTGTTTGACCGTGTCAGTCTTGTCTAGAAAATACTGTGCACAATCAATCAGTTGATAGTTGTTCGACCTCTCATAGCAGGATCTCACCCCTTTGTCTTGCCAAAGTGTTTTTGTACGTTCATAAAACTGTGGTGGGAAATGAAAGTCTTGTCCAGATGGCTAAATTTAACATATAGTTGATTCAAAAGTGGTTCTCAGGATTGGCTAGTTGAACTGGAGGTGCCAAATTGCCCACTGCTGTCACTATTGTCCCTATAGCTTCTTTAATATTATATTTCATGTCCTGAATTTTCATTTTCTTCTCCTCAGCATTAAATCCATTCTGATGTCTCTGTCTGATGGCTGTGCTTTTACTCGATTCCCCAGCACCCAGCAGGAGGATGATGCGGGGGCGAGAGAAGGAGGCTCTGTTGGTGAGGCTGATCTCAGCCTCCCAGCAGTGGGGGTGAAGCTGCTCCCAGCCCCAAGGGTCCCAAGGGCCTCTTCTGCCTCCAGGGGTGGCAGGCGGAGGGTCCTGGGGGTCCTTTGGGGCCGAGGCTCCAGGCTTGTCCCTGCCCAGGATGCAGCTTTGAGTCCCGGCCAGTCCTCAGCCCCTGCCCTGAGGCAGGACATGGGCCTGGTGCCACCCCCAGCACCTCCCTGGGTGTCCCGGTGGGGTTGGGTGTCCCTGGGTGCCTGCCAACCTTTGGTCTGTGACTTAGCACCTTCTTAATCTGATGCATCAACGATGGCAAAGAAGGTATTTTGGTAACAGCCATCATGGGTCCCCAGAAAAACCCGGTGAGGTTTTTAGCAGATAGTGGAGCTCAAATTTCAGCACTTCCAATTGATGACACCACCATCTGTGGGGCTGCAGCTTCAGAACAGCCACTCAAGGCATTAAATGCCTTTGGTGCCGTTCGATCTGTGACCACAGCCCTAGTTTGCATATTGCTGCCAGGGGAAGATTGCATCATTAAAGTAATAATGGCAGGGGGAGAATTTCCCCTTAGCCTGCTGGGTCTAGATGTTTTGAAGGGCTGTACTGGCTCAATAACCAGGGACAACCATGGACACTTGGCACCCCTGCAGTGCAGGTGAGACTGTTGCAACCAGCACCAACTCTTCCCCCTTCCAAACTGACCAACATAAAACAATCTGTTGCCTATGGCTGCCAGAAAGGGAATTACCCCTTTAACAGAGGATTTGAAGGGGCAGGGAATAGCAGTCCCAAGCCATTCACTGTTGAACTCTCCTGTTTGGCCCATGAGAAAGCCTGATGGGGAGTGATTGGCTGCAGACTGCTGAAGGCTGACTGCAAATACAGGCCCACTGACAACCACAGCACCAAACACTGCCAAACTCATCGCATCCCAAGAGCGGGCGCACCCCACGATGGCAACAAGAGATGTAAGAGACACGTTGTTTTGGTCCCACTGCAGCCGGAGGGGAGGGACCACTTTGCTGGCACCAGGGAGGGTCAGCAATACACCTTTACCAGCTCCAGAAGGGATACAAACACCCCCCCTACCCTGGCACATCACACTTTAGTGAAAGAACTTGAGTTAGTCCCCAGAGAAGGGGCAAGTGTCTATCAGTACATCGATGACATTCTCCTAGGGGGGAGCAGGGGGAGAAGCTGCAAACTACCCAGAGTAACAGACTTTCTCACTTGGAAGGGCCGGGTTTGCAGAATCCACCAGGAAAGATGCAGGTGCCCTCACAGGAAGTAAATTTGGGGGGGGGATCCGGTGGAGGGGAGGAATGGCCTGTATTCCATCTCACACCATCTCTTCTCTGTTTACTGAACAGCTACAAAATGTTCAGTTTGCAGCTGCTTCTGCTGAACGGGAGGGAAATACATTGAAATATCGAGCAGCAGCAAAGAGCAACTGAAGGGGAGGGCAGTGCACAAGGAGGGGAACAGGCAGCTGGGTGGAGTGTTTGCCAGCAGGAAGCTCCATCTGTCTCTCCTGTCTCTGTACTGGCTCCTGTGCTGTCTTTAATTCTGTGATTCTTGCAGGGACCCTCCAGGTACCTCTCAGGTCTCTTGGAGCCCCCATAGAGCCCCCTCCAGGACCCCCTAATCCCCCCCTAGACCTCCTCAGGAAGAGGCAACTGGTCCTGGTGGGTACAAAGCAGCACCGCCCTGGGCTGGGCTGGGTTTTTTGCTGCCGTTTGCATAAATTTGCATAAATGCACACGCTCCACGCAGACCTTTCCACGCTTTATTGCAAAAAAGCTGCCCCGGTGCCATAAAAAGCCAAACATTGGGGAAAAAAAATCACTCAATTTCACACAGCAAAAGCCGCCCGGAGCGTGAAGAAAAACTCCCCAAATGAGGGAAAGTTCTGAAATTCCTGATTTTTTCAGTTAAAAAACCTCATCATTCCAGCCGTGACTCGTCCCCTGCTGCCTCTGACACCCATTGGGTTCATTTTGGGGTGAAAAGCCACCTTTTTGAGGCTTGCAGTAAGGCAGGGTGAAGGGACCCAACATCCCGGCAAGAAAATTTGGAGGAAAATAAATAAATTGGGTAAAAAAAAAACCAACAACCCACAGCCCCAGTTCAGGTTTCGTGGTGGGAGCAGCAGATTCCAGGGGTCAAATTAAGGCAATTTGGGGATTTTTTGGAGCCTCCAAAGGCTTTTTTTAAGCTTTTTGGGTTGCTTTTTTCCAGAGGTGGCTCCAAACTCCTTAAAAATTGCCCTTTCTGGAAGTATTTTGGTGCAGATTCTGAAATTCAGGGAAAAAAACCCTGCAGAAAGGGGGAGAAAAGGAGAAAACAGGGATAAAACCACCTCTTATCCCGATTTGAATTCCTGAATCCAGGAAAGAACCTGGAGAGGAGAGAAAATTAGGGGAAAAAAGGAGGTTTTGGTGCTGGTGAAGGGAGAGCAGTGACTCAGCCTTGACCCTCTTGGCTCTTCCCATGGGATTAAGGCTTTTCCCAATGGGATTAAGCATCTCCCTGTGGGATGAGAGTTGTTTTCCTGTAGGATTAAGCCTTTCCCAATGGGATGAAGCATCTCCTGGTGGGATCAAGCCTCTCCCCATGGGATTATCAGTTTCCTTGTGGGATTAGGCCTTCCCTTATGGGATTAAGCATCTCCCTCTGGGATTAAGCTTTTTCCCAATGGGATCAAGCCTTCCCCAATGGGATCACCGTTGTTTCCCTGTGGGATTAAGCCCTTCACCATGGGATTAAGCAACTCCCAGTGGGATTAACGGTCTCCCTCTGGGATCAGAGTTTTTTCCCTGTGGGATTAAACCTTTCCCCATGGGACCAAAACTTTCCCCATGGGATCAAACCTCTCCCAATGGGATTACCACTGTTTCCCTGTGGGATTAAGCCCTTCCCCATGGGATTAAGCACCTCCCTGTGGGATTATCCCAGAGAAAAGGCAGAAGACTCTGCCAACTCTTGATAAAGGGGCTGTGGTGGGACAGGATGAACAGGAATCCACCAGGATTCCCCATCCCGATCCAGATTTCAGTCTGGTTTCCTTCCCAGCCTCTGGAAGACGCTGACGGACCCGGCGCTGTCCATCTGAGCCGGTGGTGGCTCCGAGGTGCTGCTCACCTTCCCACACCCCCAGGACCTGTTCAACCTCACCCGAAACTCTGGTTCCTTCCTCAACTGGAATTCTGGGTCTTGTCTCACAGACAGAATCCGGAATTCCGGTTCAGGCCTTTCCTTAGTGCTGGAAACCCCATCATCCTGTGTGGTCACCACGGCCTGGTGGGATCTGGTTGCCCTTGGGCCCCAATGCCCAATTCTGGGGTTGGTGGCAGAGGTGACAGGGACACTTTTGGCTTCTGAGCTGGTGGCTTTGGCTTTGATGGTCCCTCCTGGCTCCACATTCCCCATCCCAGGAGGTTTGGGATGTTTTTTCAGGACTCCAAGGTATTGCAGGACGGAACCATCGTCATCACTCTCGTCGTCTTTGTCACCAGGTGGGCACAAAGTGTCACCCAAGCGGCTGAAGACACCGGTGGGCTGGGAGGGAAAGGGGGGGGAGAGAGTTTTAAATCCCAAAGGAGAGAAAAGAAACCTCCTGGATCCCCAAATAAAGAGGGTTTTAATCCCAAAAGTGATTATAAAAACCTAAATAAAAGGTTTTTAATCCCAAAGGAGATAAAAACCCCTCCTAGATCCCCAAATAGTTTCTAATCCCAAAGGAGACAATAATACCCCTAAATAAAGGGTTTTTAATCTCAAAATAAATGATAAAATCCCCTCCTGTGTTCCCAAAGAGTTTTTAATCCCCCCAAAAATAAAACCCCTCCTGGAAACCTGAAGAAAGTTTTTAATCCCAAAGGAGAGAAAATCCCTCCTGGATCCTCAAATAAAGAGTTTCTAATATCAAAGGAGAGAATTAAAACCTCCTGGATCCCCTAAAGAGGGAAAAACCCCTTCCCAGATCCCAAAGGAGTTTTAAATCTTCCTGGATCCCCAAATAAAGGGTTTTTAAGCCCAAAGGGAGAAAACCTCTCCTAGATTCCTGAATAAAGAGGTTTTAAAACCAAGGGAGAGAAAAAAAAACCCCATCATCCTGCGTGGTCACCACGGCCTGGTGGGATCTGGTTGCCCTTGGGCCCCAATGCCCAATTCTGGGGTTGGTGGCAGAGGTGACAGGGACACTTTTGGCTTCTGAGCTGGTGGCTTTGGCTTTGATGGTCCCTCCTGGCTCCACATTCCCCATCCCAGGAGGTTTGGGATGTTTTTTCAGGACTCCAAGGTATTGCAGGACGGAACCATCGTCATCACTCTCGTCGTCTTTGTCACCAGGTGGGCACAAAGTGTCACCCAAGCGGCTGAAGACACCGGTGGGCTGGGAGGGAAAGGGGGGGGAGAGAGTTTTAAATCCCAAAGGAGAGAAAAGAAACCTCCTGGATCCCCAAATAAAGAGGGTTTTAATCCCAAAAGTGATTATAAAAACCTAAATAAAAGGTTTTTAATCCCAAAGGAGATAAAAACCCCTCCTAGATCCCCAAATAGTTTCTAATCCCAAAGGAGACAATAATACCCCTAAATAAAGGGTTTTTAATCTCAAAATAAATGATAAAATCCCCTCCTGTGTTCCCAAAGAGTTTTTAATCCCCCCAAAAATAAAACCCCTCCTGGAAACCTGAAGAAAGTTTTTAATCCCAAAGGAGAGAAAATCCCTCCTGGATCCTCAAATAAAGAGTTTCTAATATCAAAGGAGAGAATTAAAACCTCCTGGATCCCCTAAAGAGGGAAAAACCCCTTCCCAGATCCCAAAGGAGTTTTAAATCTTCCTGGATCCCCAAATAAAGGGTTTTTAAGCCCAAAGGGAGAAAACCTCTCCTAGATTCCTGAATAAAGAGGTTTTAAAACCAAGGGAGAGAAAAAAAAACTTCCTGGGTTCCTCAATAAGGAGTTTTCAATCCCAAAGGAAAGATAAGCCTTCCTGGATCCCCACATATGGGGGTTTTAAGCCCAAAAAGCTGAGGAAGCCTCCCCTGGGGATTCGGGTCCTCTCACCTTCCCTCCTGTGCTGGTTTCCCCCTTGGCCTCAGATCCCAGGCGCTGGAACACAGATCTTCTCTGCAGCCCTGGGGGGGGACCCCAAAAGAGGGAACTGGGGAAGCTGGGAACTCCAGTTCTCTCAGTCTGGGAGCTCAGGGTGCTGAGGGGGAAACTGGGAATTCCAGAATCCCCAGTTCAGGAGAGTGGAGAATTCCAGGACCCCCAGTTTGAGGTCTTAGGGTGCTAGAGGGGTACAGGGAGCTCCAGGACCCTCAGTTTGGGGATGTGGAGAGTTCCATGACCCCCAGCTGGGGGTCTAGGGGTGCTGGGGAGGGGAAACTGGGAATTCCAGAATCGGAAGGGAGACCCAGTAACTCCCAGTTAGAGGGTGTGGGGAGCTGGGGGGGCTGGATCTCTCTCCTGGGGGCTTCTGGCCTTTCCCCCTCTCCTCCCACAGGGAAAAACCCCTCAGGAGAAGCCTGGAAATGGCTCCAGGTCTTGAGCAGAAGGATCAGAAATCCCTAGAAAAAACACCCAGCAACTGAACTGGGATGAAACTGGGAAGACAAACCCCCATCCAAGAGGTACCTTTGGCTGCCTGTTGCTCCAGGATTTTTCTGGTCCTGGGAGTGGTTCCCTTGGGCATGTGGATGATGTATTTCCCTTCCATCTCTGCCGTCACTCGCCGGCGCTTTGCTGGGAGTGGAGGATTTGCCTCAGTTGTGGGACAGAAATCCCCTGGGATGGAGGAAAAACGGCTGGAATCAGGTTCTAGGAAGGCTTGGGGTCAATCTTGGGATTCCAGTAGCCCCAAAACTGGCTCTTTTGGCACCAAAAGGGCATCAGAAACAAGAATTTTGGTTCTGTTCTGCAGCCGGATGCAAAACGGCTCCTAAATCCCCTTGGGATTCACATAAACTTGGTGGAATGAAGAAAAGGGGCTGGGATGAAATTCTAAGAGGGCTTGGGATAATCTTGGGATTTGAACCAGCTCCAGAATTGGCTGTTCTGACACCAAAATTGTGTCAAAACAAGGATTTTGGTTCTGCTCTGTGTCCAGATGTGAAACGGCTCCTAAATCCCTCTGGAACGGCAGGTTGGGATGGGAAAACTGGGACAAAGCTGGGAGAAAAGTGGGAGCTGGGAATTCACATTACCTGCCTTGGTGGCTCCCAGTTTGTTGGAAACAGTGACAGAGATTTTGGGGGCCCATGGGGGGGCCGAGGGGCTCAGGCTGTTGGCGATCATCCGGCTGGCAGGGAGAGGGGCGCGGCGCCGGGGGGCAGGGGGGGCTGGGCCCCC